CCAGGGTGGACACGTAGTCGTCACCTGTCACATTCGCTACGGGTCGACTTCCAAACTGTAGGTCACAAGATAGTCGGAGCTTATGTTCGAACAACACTTTCGCTGGGGTCTGGCCCGTTTACTCGTTAACTGCAGCCCGAAACGCTATCAGAAACACGGGGAGATACCTGTCCCAATCACGCTGGTGGCTAGATACTACTTTTGAAACGTATTTTCCGATGGTCCGGTTCATCCCTCCCACCAGCCGGTCCGATAGGGGGTGCAAGACGTTCTGGTCTTGATAACCAGCTTCCCGCAGACTCCTTTGAAGAGTTCGCTCTCGAAGTTCCTGCCCTGGTCGGAGTGCGGCTCTAGTGGGACTCCAAGCTGGCTGATAGTCTGCAACCGTGGCAGTTTCTTGGTTGGGGATAGCTTACTGAAGTAGTCCACAGCAACCCGATTCTGGAAACGGTCCCGAGATGTCAATAGCTATCATTTCAAATGGCCTCCCACGTTATATCGCTTCATCTTGGCCTTCGGCTGCCGCAGCGGTCCACTGCTCGCGCAACACGTTGTACATTTCCAGCACTACTTTCTGACATCATCAGAGTAGTTCATCCGGTAAAACCGCTCTCGAACCTTTCCCAGGATCTTGTTGACACCCATGTGTCTATCTGATGTTCCATCGTGGAACTGACGGAGAACCTCGAGCACCCGGTTCCTTGGTATCATCAGCTGCAGCCTCCGCTGGGACCCATCTGCGTTCTCCACGCTGGCTTCAGGACTTCATTTTCTAGTACCAAAGAGTTCCGCCGGGATCAGACTTGGCCGCTGGTATCAGTAGGGCGACTTCCTCCCAGGTTGGTCGACGGCCGTCTTCATTCCACTATTTCAGCCGTTTGATGTCTCGCTCCTGGTCTTCACCGGATAATGCCGGGCAACCAGTTATAATCCACTACCGTCGACTTGCAGATGGTCGCTGTCCTCTCATCGAGCCTACTGCAGTGTGGGCACTCCGGTGAGCACGGACTTCTGAACAAGGCGTCAGCGTTGCCCTGGCTCCATCTAGCACGATGCTGAATCTCGAAGTCATACTCGGCGAGCCGCTTGACCTTCGGGATTTTTAAACTGTAGGAGCCACTTCAGTGCCGCACGGTCCGTCTGGATCTCGAATTTCCACCTGAACAGGTATTTGTAATAGGCCTCCAATACCTTGATCACAGCCAACACCTCTCGTCTTGTAACGCAGTAGCTACGTTCAGGCGTCCATAGGATCTTGCTAAAATACCCGACGGTGCGTTCCTGTTGTTCATCTTCTCTGTCAGGGCCTATTTTTCCTCCTTCAGCGCATTAGTGGTAACAATCATCTGGGAAAGAGCCTCGTTCTCCTCCTTCATCGTCTGCGACAGGGCCTGGTTCTCCTTCCTCAGCGACTGCGACAGGGACTTTTTCTCCTCCTTCAGCATCCGTGACAGGTCCGGTTCTCCTTTCTCAGCGTAGACAGGACTATCTCGGCGTCGACGGAACCTGGAATCTTGAATTGGAAGGCCTCTGGATCGCTCATGGTCACCCAAAACAGTAACTCCATTTAGTTTATAATACTTGCAACTAATTTATAACTACAATGACTGGACTATTATTCCATCTTAACTTCGCGCCGTTGACAGTCTCAACTGTGACTGGTTCTTCCGCCATCTTGTCGGGTATTTATTCCCCTATGAACAGTCGAGAAACATTCCAGCGCTTTCCGGCCGAGCCACGAACTTTCATTGAAGTGATCTAGATTCATGTCCAGACATGTAGAATATTCGCGATGGCATCAAGGTCGGTCCAGAACGCGACCGCGCTCCATCATAGATGCCTAAGCATCAATATCACTTCTGGCCACCTGTCGAATCTTCTAGTTGATGTACAAGGGTGTCGGTCACTGGTACCAGGTACCAGGTTTCTAGTTATACGTTTGAGTTATATTATAAAGTATACTTTTCCGCCCGGTCGCAGATAACAGTAATGTACTGTTATTACTTTTTTAAATATCCTCAAATTAATGTTTAATGGATATCAGATATTTCCCTCGAAACGATGACGCTACCTTGAGGAACGTTCAAGCGAGGATTTAAATTTTCATTTCACAGTAGGGTGTAGCAGTTGTCATCACAAGCTGTAATCATCGATAAAAAATGCAACCAACCGTTGCACCGAACTGCTCTACTGCTTGCAGGTTGTCGATTACACCTGTCAGACTAAACTACTACAGTATCTCACAAAAAAGCATATATTTTAATACCCCAATTTTATAATAAATTATAATGTGTGGCAGTTAAAAAAAGAAGTATAGCGAAGATTAGAAGATGCATCAATCGAAATACTAGGCAAATTTGAAGAGATCATTAGGAATAAAAACAGATAGCTCCTCAATAACGTTGAAGAGCAAATTTCAGAAACTTTCAGTACAATACATACATAATAAGCAAACAACTCAAAAAATTATGGGACACCAAACAAGGTAAGAAGAACTATTTTGCAACACATAGGTGATAACTATAGTCTCTATAAATTAGTTTTTACAAATTCATCTTTTTTAATTGGTAAGGCTCATAGAGCAGGCTGCTTTATAAAAATTCTACTTAGCTTTGTTTGATGTTATTCCAAAAATTTTTTAGCTGCTTACTGGTTCTTTTGGGCGTATTGATCTCATTAAATATTTTTGTTACTTCCTCCAATATTGTTTTTGACATGTATGGAGAAGCCGTCAATTTTCTTATTTTCAATTTATCCAATAATATATAGCAACCAGAGACATTTTCTCTGCCTCGTTAATCTTCTCTTTATATTCGCTATTACACTGTTTATTAAAATGTTAGGCCCGTATCGTCAGTCGTTCCAACAATTGTAGGACGTTTTTATGGCCTCCTTGATTGTCATACTCCTTTCTCTCCTTCAAAAATTTCTAGATTGCACCTGTTCTGTGTCAGCGCTCTCCTATTATGAAAATATGTTTTCTTTTTAAATTGTAGGAAATTTCAGGCTGATAAAATATGATATAAATCAAAAGCTTGCACAATTTGATGCAAATAGATATTTGTGACATAACCTCAAAATAGAGCGCTGACACGGAAAAGTAGAAAACTATGATAATCAAGGAGGCCATAAAGGCGTCCTACAATTGTAGGAACGACTGACGATACGGGCATTAGAGATTACAAAATATTTGAATTTGAGATAGTATTTACGCCGAATCTGGCAGATCTTGGCGATAACCTACAACCAGTAGAGCAGTTGAGTGCAACGATTGCCTATATTCAGTTTTTACTTCTCGTGATTGTGCTGTAAGTCTAGCAAGCAAGTAACACATTATTTTGCATTTTTTATTGATGTTTAGCACAAATAAGCCGCCAAATCGTTCCAGTTTTATCATCAAAATGCTAAATATTTACGCCCAGCAAAGAAGCCTCATTGATCCACTGTTTCCAAGGATATATATCATATCCATTGATTCCAAGGAAGCGTCTCGATTCAAAGAAGGTCTATAAATCTGACTCTAAAATATTTCAATGTATCTTTAGTTGCTATACTAAGTGACATATAAATCCGAACACCCAGTTTAAATGGTTTTATTTTAATAAAATGTTGTATAAGTATTTAATGAAGCATAATAAGTGAATGATAAAAATTTCAAAATGATTGCACTGCTTTAAAGCCCTTTGACCTTTAATAATGTGTGGATACTCCCTGATGTGCTACGCATTCTCCAACGCGCCTAGGCATGCTTCTGATCAGGTGGTCAATGTCCTCCTGTGGTATCTCATTCCATGCAACCACCAACTCCTCTCGAAGTGCTTCTAGAGTCTGAGGAGGACGTTGCAAATTGAGCAATCTCCTATCCATCATATTCCACACGTGCTCAATTGGGGATAAGTCGGGAGATCTTGGTGGCCATGGTAACAATGTGACATCATTATGTTGAAAGAAGTCTATTGTGACTCTTGCAACATGTGGTCGGGCATTATCTTGTTGGAAAGTTGGATCTGCCAGGGTGTCAAGATAGGGTAAAAGATGGGGTTCTAGAACTTCGTGGATATATCGCTGCGCGTCCATGTTACCTCTGATGAAGATTAAAGGTGTCCTGGAACCATAAGCTATAGCACCCCAAACCATAACTCCAACAGTGTGATGAACATGTCTTTCAACAAAAAACTGTGGATTCCTCCTTTCACCACGTCGCCTTCTCACCCTGGCACGACCATCGTGCATGCCTAAACAAAATCGAGACTCGTCACTAAAGACAATACTGTTCCATTCCTGATCCCAGAGTGACCGTTGTCTGCACCACTCAAGGCGATTACGTCGGTGTTCTCGAGTTAAAGGGAGGACCCAGTGTGGCCGGTATGAAAACAAGCCAAAACTTCTCATTCGTCGGTAAACACTTCGCATGCCAATAGGTCTTCCGTGTTCTGCAAACCATTCATTTGCAATGGACCTGGTAGTGGAGAAACGGTCCCTTAAGACCAATAATCTTAGGCGGCGATCTTCACGGTCTGTTGTTCTACGGCGGCGTCCAGTGCCCCTTGCTCTTTGCGTACGGCCTTCTCGAAGCCATGTCCGACAACACCTAACCACAGTGTCTACACTTCTTTGCACTCTAACTGAAATTGCCCGGAAAGAAAGTCCAGCTTCCCGAAGTCCCACTATACGGCCCCTATCCAACTCACTAAGTTGACGAAATCGTACATGTCTCCGTACTCTAGGCATCGTAACCGATCGTAAAGGATGTCAAGAACCAAAATCCACCAACGCTGATTCTTTACTGCGGCTCAAATATTCATTTTTAGAGCGTTAGTGAATTAAAAAAAAGCAGTATAAAAACCGGAATGTCCAACTGATAAGGATGAAAATTTTTTCACTTGTTATTTACAGTAAGATAAATACATTCACCAACTTTTATTAAAATAAAACCGTTTAAACTGGGTGTTCGGATTTATATTTCACTTAGTATATGTCGGTGTTAATAAATAACTTACATTCATCAAGGGGACTCCAAAAGCCTTTTTGATCACATCTTTCAGTGTGCCAGTTTCAAAGTTCACTGTCTCAGGACGGATTTGGATTGTGTTTCTGGCAAATTGAACACAAGCTTCAGCTTCTGAATCTGTAATAAAACGATCTGCTATTTGCATGAAATAAATTATAGATATTTTTAGTACAAATAGCCACAAACTAACAAGTCGTGAATATATAGTCGCTGTAACAGCACCATTTCACAAAATTACACAATTCTGATTGCGAGAAGCTGTGGGATGGTCGGTACCTTTCTGGCGTAACTTTTCACAACTAGCATACATTAACACTTTCGCTGCTAGCTTCTATGATGCAGAGTAACCCAGATACGACAATGTTTTTTTTTCTATTATAGGTATCGAGATGTTTTTTTCTATGAACGTTTTTGACAGATATTTGCCGCCCCATACAATAATAATAATAATAATTTATTGGTACTATTACACAAAAAATGTGTTTGCACGGGTCATTTAAAGTAGAACATAAAAGAGTAAGTAAAAGTAACAAACAATACGAAAATAAGACAAACGTAAAACACAAAGTGGCAATAAAAGGTAAAAAAAAACTTGATAAAACTATTTTAAAATTTAGATGAACAATAAAATAAGATGGTTAAAAAATTATGAAATAGTAATCGTTTTTTCATGTTTGTACTCAAAAGTCCTTACACACGTCTTGAGAACGATAAAATATAATACAAAAATAACACATAAAAAACACAAACGAAAACAAAGTAATAAATAGTCAACAATTATGGAACAAAGTCGGTAAAATCATTATTTAAAAACTCATATATGCTGTAAAAAGCTTTCGTCACTAGATATCTTTTCAAAGTTGCTTTAAAAATGGTTGAGTTGAGTGTTTGACAAAACTTGGGCAGCGCATTAAAAAATTTCACACCGAAATAACTACTTCCGTGTCTAGTTTTTGATAGTCTTGTGTACTCTGGTATTAATTCATTGTTGAATCTTGTGTTATATTTGTGAATCTCTTTCGGAGTTCTGTAATCATCGTAATTATTTTTAACGTGGATCAGACGTTCCAGTATATATATATATACATGGCACAGTTAAAATTTTTTGGTCGATAAATGTCGTCTTGCAACACTGTCTGAAATATAAGTTTGCTATTATTCTCAAGCATCGTCTCTGAACAGCAAACACCTTCGATACATGACATGAATATCCCCAAATCAGTATGCAGTATGCAAGTTAGATTGGAAGTAAGCATAATAGGCTGTCATTAAAGTCGATTTTGTTACGTAGGTATTTGAACTATGTATCATATATGTTATTTTAGATAACTTCTTTGATAAAGAGGTGATGTGTGATTCCCAAGTTAAGCTTGCATCAATAATCACTCCAAGAAATTTCACGGGCTCTACTAAATTACTTCTATGTGGACGAATACTGAGTAGAAGAGATTGAGTTTTCGCTATGTTGATTGACAAACTGTTGGCATTAAACCAGTTTTGAATGTTGTCAAAATGCTGCTGAGAATCGAGCAATACATGGTCAAAGTTACTATTGGAGGATATTGATGTCGTGTCATCCGCAAATAATATATACTGATTGATGCTACAGTTTGGCAGATCATTGATGTAGATCAAAAAAAGAATCGGTCCCAAGACACTTCCTTGTGGAACTCCGTGCTTAATATGTACATTGTTGGATAAACAATTTTGAAAACTAACATACTGTCTTCTATCTGATAAATAAGACGCAATTAACGACAGGCTATTATTACTAAAACCATACAGCGACAACTTTTGAATCAAAATGTGATGTTGGACACAATCAAATGCTTTTGTAAGATCATAGAAGTTAGCGAGAGCAATCTTCCAGACATTTGTTGATGAAACTGATAAAATCGTTTATTGCTGCTTCCGTCGATCTGTTGGTACGGTATCCAAACTGGTTGTTACAGAATAAATTGTTACCTTCGAAGTATTCACATATCTGATTCTTCAGAAGAATTTCGAAAAATTTTGCTATAATTGGTATTATAGAGATGGGTCTGAAATTACTTGGATCATTCTCACAGCCTTTCTTGAAGAGTGGCACAATCTTTGCAAGTTTTAATAAGGCAGGAAAGACATTATTTTCTATACACATGTTTATCAATTTTGTTATAGGATATACTAACAAGTTATTTAACGTCTTCATAATTTTAACATCGATGTCATATGGATCTTTACTTTTAGAATTCTTTAAGCTTTTGATTGTGTCTCGAACATCATTGAATGAAACAGTCCGAATGTTGAAATGTAGTGTATCACTAGTCTGTATAAAATCTTTGAAGTTCGACTGGGTAGCTGGAATTTCAGCGATAATGGTTTCAGCAATGCTGACGAAGAAAGAGTTCAAATCATTCGCGTTGAAAGTAGACGAATGTGATTTTGATGATTGCACACCATTGGATTTAATCACGTTCCACATAGCTGCTTGTTTATCTGACGCTCTACGTATATATTTATCATGAGCATTTTTTTTCCTAATTCTGATTTCTGATCGGTACTTTGATTTGAAGACATTAATTTTGATACTACTTGGGGATTATCATTATTAATTTGAGTTATTAGTTCCAGAGTCTCTCTCATCTGAGCCAATTCGTGATCAAACCAGTTGATTTTGTTGCGACAACCCTCTGATACTAACCTAGATTTGATTGGCAAGCACTCAGCGACATTATTTGTTAAGATGTTCATGAATCGTTCGAGTTGTGTGGTCAGTGGTAAACTAATATCAGACAAAAAGATCCAGTTGACTGTTTCAATTTTACTGTATAACTTGAAAAGACCTTCATCAGTGACAGGCCTGTAGTTTATTCTCTTCCTAACAGGTTTTAAAGTTTTCAAATTAAAATGAAATGCAATACCTAAATGGTCAGAAAAACATGTATCAAAGGCTTCTACAACTATGCTTGACATGTTTATATTGTGAAAATATTATCTAGATAAGCATTGTGCCTAGTATTCACATTCACAGTCTGATACAGTCCAAAAGAAACACAAATATCACACATCACATTGGCATGCTTGTCGTGAGTGTTAAATTTAAACCAGATATGATTATATTTTGCTTATAGTCTAAAGTACTAAGTAGTATTTGAAGCTTACTATAGAATATATTGAAGTTTCCATTTAGTGATCTATATACGGTTAGAATTTGTGTGCCATCCAACCACCAGCAACCTCAAAGTGTAACTCCTCAGAAATGTTTAAAGCTTTGTCACACAAAGGCTTGGCACTAAAGTTATTATTGACATAAATACAAACACCACCGTGGATTTTGCTTGACCTGCAAAAACTAGACGCATTCATATATTCACAAATATTCAGAGTATTAATCTCATCGCAAGTCAACCAATGCTCATTCAAACAAAGAAAGTCATAACTGTGCTGTTTTGCCACCAACTCAAGTTCATCAACCTTGTTTCTCAAACACTGTACGTTTAAATGTAAAAGTTTATACCGACAATCATTCGTGCGCACTTCACAGACGCGAGCGTGTGATAAGGAATTTTTCGATACATTCTGATTACCCGAATCATGTCGTACTAGGTGATTAGTATTGGACTCCCACTGGCCAGTAAAAAAGCACCAGGATTATCACTGTTGCAATGCACTTGACGTTCCATTTTATAAATTGGAATTATTGGAGGCGATAATAAAACGTTTCTTTTGAGGGTAGAGCAGCTCGTCTGCACATGACTTCTTATGATGTTTGCCAGTGATTTGCGAATACCATTTTTTACTACTAAAAACTTCACTAAACAGTTGGGGTTATTTTTAATATAACTAGTTATTTTGTTTTCCAATAGAACTGCTAAGGCTTCATCTACAGGCTCGGACTTTAGAAGAATTACTAGATTTGTAAATTTACCCAGTGGTAATACATTTCTAAGAAAACTGTTCAATGTTTTGTGGTTGCTTATGTTTTTTTGTGCTGAAAACAATAATTACATAGTCACTTTGTCTATGATCCATAGTTTGAGTGAAAATATTACTTGTGATATTTGCAGCCTCTGTGTTGGGCTTAACAAATCCTTCAACTATATAGCCTATGCTCTTCATTGAATTATGTAAGACTCTAGCGCAGTTTCTGGCCAATTGATCGCCCACAATGAGCAGTTTCTTGGAAGTCTTCGCACTGTTCCTGGATTGTTTAAAAAGTTCATCATACAAAGATACATTTTCCTCAGTCGTCCACAGCTGTTTATCCCTATTGTCTAATATATTCTGTTGATCGTTGGCATTTCCTTCAGTGTTCTCCGACAATCGACACGTGTCTTCTTTTGCTCTTTCTTCTAATTCGCCTATTTTCCTTGAGTATGCATTGTTTGTTTCTTCCAAAAGACTAATGGTTTTCAGCATATCGGCATGAATATTTTTTAGCTTCGTCATCTCTGTTTGCATGTCTTTTGTCATTTGTTCATAACTGTCCATCTGTTTCTGAAGGTTTTTGTTCTTCTCCTCTGCATCGACTATTTCTTTTTGTAGTGTACACATTCTTTCTGTTTGGTTTTTCAATTGGTCTTTAAAAGAATTTTGCTCCTCTATGAAACTTTGTTCAGATTCAAAAACATCTTCTTCAAAATCCTTGGCTTCTTCATTAATCTAATTATATGTTTCTCTTTATCTTGTATCTCGTCCTTTAATGAGTTAATTTCTGTAGTGTAAGAATCGTAGTTTCGATGCTCGTTATCCTCCGATTCACAGGCAGCAGAACAATATACTCTGTTATTTGAGAGCTTTACAATTGAACTCAATCTATTTGCACAGCGTGAAAAATTGCATGGCATGATATGCAAAAATAAGAAAGAGCTTCTTTTGTTTTGCAACATTTGAACCTAGCTACCATTTTCAACCGGATACGGGCCTGTTTGTTTTCTTATTTATTATCTTGTCTTTCGTAAATATATGGTGATTAGGAATATACTCACTGGTCGTTTTTGTCGATTTTTCTCGTGCTGTTTTTTGTGTACTTATTTGCGTTTAGTAATTAATCCTCAAAATCAGTGTTTATGAGTTGCAGTTTTTCAGCGTATAATTTATAAAAATTGCTCACATGTGGATGCAGCACTGGGTCAAATTTGAAAATTGTCTCTCAAAAATAACCCACTATAGTAAGCAAAAACAGACACGACGATAAAAGAAGGTGTTACACCACAATAAAATGTATACACCCCCAAGAAATGAACTCACCAGTAGAAAATGAGTTGCCATTTGACAAGCTTCGGGTGGCTTCTAAGTCAGCACGAACACAGTTCACAGCTCCTTTTAAATACATCAAAAATGCTTCCAGGTCAAAGGCTTTTCGTATACAACAAAAAGCAATGAGGCCATCGCTTGTAGGGAGCAGAATATTCACTGAACTGATCTTGTTTTCTATCAATGAACATAAAGCATCTAAACGGTTGTCAATTAAGGCGTTTTTCAAGGCACCATGATATTTAGAGTCTTCTATGCTCCATCCTAAGAAGGTGACACTATTCTTTATGAGACGATTTACCTCTGGATGGATAAGGTTCTTCAGAAAGTCTGTTGAAAATTGACTTTTTTCGATATGCAGGTAGAGAAGGATGATTTTTTTCTAAAAAAAAAAGATAAGGGAATATTAGTAGAAATGACGATTCCATATTATAGCTGTTCATTTTACTTTTTCACCAAAAAAAAAAAGTATATGAATGGTATTTTTTGTGAATGTAGAAATGGTGTTTGGCGATTGTTTTGGTAATTCGGAATTATGTAACTTTAGAACTAAATTTTAGAACTGAAATAAGCAAAAGACGAAAAGCTATATCAATTAGCAAAGGGGGCGAATCTATTAGGAAACCAATGATATCTTTATTACTGTCAAGAGTTGTACTTTATTACTTGTCTATTTATGTACCTATTCACTTTTGGGATTGATTTGACACACATTAACAAAACAATGTGCATCGTGCCAAACTAAACCTTGAAGAAAAGTGGAACTTTTTTACGTTACGTCTATTTGGCATTTTGTACTTACCTCTTTAAAAAGTATTAGACTGTTTTCATATATAACATCTTTCAGGGTAATAGCACGGAATGGTAAATCGTATATATTGAGGGTTGTCTCTACAAATTTTATGCATGCTTCTATCTCCAGATCTGAAATTAAGTAAAAGTCAACATTAAATTCGAAATGATAGTGTCGATGATTACTGTTTAATACAAACATAATAACCTTGAATTTGCTGTTAGTTTTCAAGCATAATATGTTTTGAGTTTACTGTGCTCCTTATGTTGGATATGAAAGTTGAAGGTAAGCTTTTTCAGTTTAAAAATACATATTACCTGGCAACTGGGATACAGTTAAAATTGTAACCTCATCAGAAGAGCAATCTTCTAAAAAAGTGTAATCTTCATTTTGTGGAGAGCTTTTCCACCCTTCCAGGTTTTGTCTGTGGACATGAATCCCTAGGCGATCTTGGATCACTGCTTTTAAATCCCCTGAAAGAGTAAAATCTCAATATTTATCTGATAAAATTCGTATAAAAGCGCATTGTTAAGTAATAATAATAAATTGCTTATATTGCTCATATAAGTAAGTACCGAAAAAAATAAATCATAAATCTGATGCAGTGACCAAGGGGCAAGGTTCGCTTGATTGACAACCATTAGTTGTCTTCTACCTAACCGGAAAAAGAAAAGTAATATATTAGTAACGATAGCAATATTTGATAAAATTATAATCGCAATAGAAAAGTTAACACAGATACATATAGACATATGTTTTAGAACTACATATTATATTATACACACATATAACTGTATGCAGGCAGCTTGTTAAATCTATCATGAACAACGACGAGTTGATGTTTGAGAAGTTATAGCTAATGTTTATAAAGGTAAAATGTCATGCATCAAACGATAAAAAAGGAAGAAAAATTGGCAAATCAGCGTGAAATGTAGGATTTAGGTCATCGCAAGTCTCAACATAGTCTTCACTTCTCGCTTGAATCTCAAAATTGATAGGCCTTTAATTCTATCAGGCAGAGAGTAAACCTTAACTATATCATATTAAAAAGAACACGTATAATTCGATGTGTTAAATTTAGGTAGCAAGAGATGATGTTTAAATCTCGTGTTACGACTGTGTACTTAATATATATATACAGTGACTATGGGCAAAGGTCCTACGGGCCGCCCAGGCGAACAAATGTAAAGCAGTTTCAAAGATGGAGACGCCCGTTTGGTTAGAAGAGAGATACGCTGTGAAAATCGTAGATCTGTATCCACAACCTCTACATTTTTCGCGGAGTTTGTAAAAGTTATTTTGTCTTATTCGAAATAAATCTCTAAATTATTCGAGTACAGATATTCCCTTATTTTAGCATCCAAAATCATTTCGAAGCCCTTTGATAGAGTACATAGGATGCTGATGGGTCGAAGGTCTCCCACATTTTCAGGAATACTCTTTTTTGGTATGGGAATTACTTGTGCAAGCTTTCAAATTTTACTACACTGAATTTTAGACTATAATTAAAAATATGCGTGAGATATGGTAAAATTATAAGACAGCTGTACAGCAGCATGCTGATACTGATACCGTCGGCACCAATAGCCAATAGCCATTGTGTATGAAAATTCAAATACTTCACGAGGGAGTTGCGTGTCGGTGAAGAATGGAAGAATATACTGATCACGTTCACTATTATCACCCGAGACTGATTGCATGAAGACATTATTAATTTGGTTTACAGTTCCTAGGTGTTTTATTTATTTATTTTATTTATTTATTGAAATCCACCACCAACAGTGTTAACCAATTACTGGTGGCAAAACAACAAAAGAAATAGTAAAAAAACATATAAAAATACAACGAAAACTAAAAACTAAATCATTTCACTGCAAACTCTCTTAATGTTCGAAATACTTGTGTTGAACAAATCAAATGTACTCTGTAGACTACTATAACATGAACACATCGAGTACAAAGGTGAGTGCAACAGTAAGTTAGTTCGTGGGGTAGGTAGGTAAAAGTGAGTGTATTGCGAGTAACAAATTTTGGAGCATTAAATTTAATCTGTGCTAGAAATGATGGACAATCATAACTGCTATGCACTACTTTATGCAGGAATATTAGCGAGTGAATCTTTCTTCTGTTATCAAGACTGATAAACTTGTGCTTCCGTAACAGGTCTTCCTGTGGGACACCAATGGGTGGGTACGTACCGTCAATTTTGAATGAAAGAAATTTCAGAAATTTCCGCTGAATCTTCTCCAGGGAGCCACAAGTTGTAACATAGCATGGATTCCATATTAGCCGTCCATATTCTAATTTAGACAGTATGAATGAATTATAAAGCATAATCATGGCATCTTTGTTACTTAATTCCTTTGAGTTACGTATTACAAATCCTAATAATCTGTTGACAGCATTAATAAGGTACTCAATATGAGGATTGAAGCTAAGTGACATGTCGAAAACCACACCCAGGTCCTTGCATTCTTGTACTCTCAGCAGAGAATGATTGCCAATTCTGTAGTCAAATGTAATAATATCTAGCTTTCTGGTGTAAGACATAACACTACATTTACTGTAGTTAATTGGAAGTCGATTTACAGCACACCATTTAACTATTTTGGCTAGGTCTTTTTGTAAGTGAGCACAGTCAGTGCTGCAGTCGACATTGGAAAAAATTTTCAGATCATCAGCATAGATTAAGTGGCTGCTGTCGATGTCGCTAACAATATCGTTTATGAACAGTATGAAAAGCAAAGGACCTAAGCAGGAGCCTTGAGGTACCCCTGAGGTTGGAAAGAATTCAATGGATTTGACACCCTCATATTCAACATATTGCTTTCTTCCTGATAGATATGACTTAAGAAAGGATAACAGCTTGGGGGAGAATCCAAAATAGCTCAGCTTCGTTAACAGAATACTGTGATCAAGTTTGTCAAATGCTTTACTAAAATCTGTATAAATTACATCCACCTGGCTATTAGCATCTAATGCAGAGGAGACTGACTGAGTAAAACAGGCTAGGTTAGTTATGGTTGATCTACCCTTCATAAAGCCATGCTGAGAAGTACTTATTTGGGCATGTGTATTGTGGTATAGGAAATTATGAAGCAAAGTTTCTAAGGCCTTGGAAAAGATACATACTAGGGTTATCGGTCTATAATTTTCAACCTGTAGTCTATCACCCTTCTTGAAAATGGGACGCACCTTTGATTCGCCCCAAATTTCAGGAAACGTGTCAGTCTTTAAACATAGGTTGAAGATCTTTGTCAAGGGATGAGCTAAGACGTAGGCACAGTCACGCACTAAAAACGATGGAATTCCATCGGGTCCGGAGGTAAATTTATTTTTCATTTGCTTTAACACTGTAAAAACTTCTTCTTCGGAAAAGCTCTGAAGTATTATGTTAGTATGCAAGTCCGAAATATTGATATCAGTTGAGTTCGAAGGCATAGTATATACAGATTGAAAAAATAGCGCAAAAGCATTAGCAATTTCATTGGGTTTGTCATACTGCTTACCATTATAGTTTACTTGGCTGATTGTGGAATTTTGTCCCCTTTTATTACAGATAAATGACCAGAAATTGTTCGGATCCTGAGATAGTCTACTTTGGATATCTACTAGATATTTTTGATATGCGTTACGCTCATCGCGCTTAATTTTGGTCCTTAAGTCTTTGAACTCAGTGTATGTGATCAAACTTTTATCCTTTTTAAACTTTTTGTGTAGCAAATTTTTTCTTTTAATGTCTCTAATCATTTCACCGTTAAACCAAACCGGAAATTTGAGAGATCTGAGACTTGTCCTAGGGACACACATATTAAAAATTTTACGAAGAATGTTATAAAATGTTTCCAAAGCTACGTTTACATCTGTTAAATTGTCAAGAAACGTCCAATTAACCAAGCTTATTTGTTCATATAGTGCTACAAAATTGGCTTTTCTGAAATTATATGATTCTCTGGCGCATTTGATACTCTTTTTAGAATGGAAGCTCATGTTGATTATCATGACAAGCGGAGGATGGTGAACATCCTCAGGTAGTAGGTCATCATAAGCCTTAACGACGCTACAAAGAAATAAGTCACTTCATTTTTATATCTAAGTTTGATTCCAATTATGTCAATACTGGGAATATCGTCTCTGATAAAAGTCATATTGACCTCTGAAGCAGCAAGTTGATTACGAATACCAATTAAGACACCACCTCCTCTAGAACACCCCATCGCAGAGAAATTTCTGTCCGCTCTAAATACAACATATTTGTCAGTAAATAATTCAGAACTAAGTACTGCAGACTGCAGCCAAGTTTCAGTACAACAGATGATATCATAGTCAGACATAGCGACATTTACAAAGAATTCTTTACACTTAGAGTTCATACCGCGTACGTTCTGGTAGTAAACAGAGATGCGACGATCAGAAAAGGTAGAAGTAGAAACTCTTACAAAATTTTGAGTATTTAACTGTTCATAAGGGATTTCATCGGGAAAATCCGAACTAAGAAAAAAATAACCTAGCTTTAAACTCCTCTACCTTTTGTAAGTAACATGGGCACCTAGAATCCCAAGCCGCATGTGACATGTCATAGTTGGTATTTCTATCTAGATTATTTCTAACACAGTTAATACATTTTAAGTTCGTGGCCTTGCAGTTTTTCAGTAAGTGGCTATCGCCACACCGAGGACAGTGAGTTTGGCTCTTACATTGACCAGTGTTCAGGTACTATGCTCTGTTTTTTGTTAACTATATTCAATTTCTTTTCACATGCGGTTTTTATTAAATGCAACTTGTTGTTTAAAGTATACTTTCGTTTCCTTGTTAATTGCGTAAATAGCCAAACCAATCACTGAGATTTTTTGTTAGATTATACTTTCTTAGTGCTTTATTCCTTAGTTTCATCTTTTGTTTCAAATTGTAGGTAAGCCAAGGTGACCTTTTTCTGGATATGCGGACTGTTCTGTAGTAGAGTTCGTTCATCTAACGTAAAGCGGTCCAGAACTTTTATGTTGAACAGTAGTAGCCATGGGATAGTTTTGTTAATTTGACAGAAGTGTTCACTTGGCTGCCAGATTTGATTGTTTTGTTGATTAAGGCTGCTGCCCCATTAGTGCGTTGCGTTGCGTCGTCGCAGCGGATCATCGCATTGTATGCCCCATCTGCATTGTGACAACGCACGACATCGCAGCGCAATAGGACGACGCTGGCACCTCCACCGATGCCACGCACCTCAGTTAGTTTCCAAAATGGATCGGAATAAACGTGTTCTATTGTTGCTTTTATTACGCCACCGCCGGAAGAAACGTAGAAATAATAAAAGAATGTGGGTATCTCCTTTGATTGCATTAAGAAATAGTGACGGTCAGTTTTTTATGCGGGAGTATAATGAATTATTGTCGGAAGAGGAAGAATTTTTCGATTTTTTTAGAATGAGTGTGACTAGCTTTCAATATTTGGTGAAAATCTTGGAACCACATTTGAA